ATATATAACTGAGATGTTCCAGATTATTTATGACGTAGAGTGCTCGATATCTCAGATAGAGCTTAATAGAAATAAAACAACAGCAGATGAACTTGGTTACTTCATATCTTTAATCGCTACAAATCTGTTTCATATGACCACACAGGGCCACACTCAGGCGAATTGTAGTATCCGAGGTTCACGCGTTCCATGTTAATCACGCTGATCTGAAGAGTGCTCGACAATAAAATATAAAATATAATAAAGGAGCGAAATATAAATGAGATGTTCCAGATCATCTATGACGTAGAGTGCTCGATATCTCAGATAGAGCTTAATAGAAATAAAATAATAGCAAATGAACTTGGTCACTTCATATCTTTAATCGCTACAAATCTGTTTCATATGACCACACAGGATATTTCCCGAAAAATCGTAACGGTACTGGGTTTGGTCTACAGGAGCTCGTATTTCGTACAGGTCATTCCATTCATAGAAAAAGCCTTTAATAGTGAAAGTGTACCTGTCATTAGCCGTAGTAGCCTAGGTCAATACATAACACCGGCTGTATAAAATTTATTATAAGATTGAAAATGTTATTCTTATTATTGTAGTAGTGATACACTATGTACACGGTAATATCCTCAAGACGCAACTTCGTTGTTCCAAAGGTCAAATAGACATATCTGGATCCGCGCCTTCTGTGTCGTATCGATTTATAGGGCCTATTCAAATCTCGTCAAAATGATGACGTACATTTAAAGTTTTACCTCTAAGAATAAATTTCGTTTAATAATACTGAAATTTGTACACAGTAAACTCACTTATTCATGGTTCTAGTTAAAAGATTAGGCCGATGCTTATCATAAAAACAACGTTGCATCATAATTCTAATACTGAAAGCTCTATATTGGTATTAAGGCGGCCATTCAACCATGAGGCTATCATAGATTTCCTCAGAGAGAACATAATTCGTTAAGTTAAAAAAAAGACACCTTAGAACGGAAAAATAACGTTGCGCCACGACCTGGTCCTTTGAGTCGATTGGTTAACGTAGTGTAAAGTCTGCCGCCGTACGCTCTTTGCTCTTACATCTGGCTTCAATGGCGCATTATCTTGCTTCAATTATTGAACACCCGTTCTTCTTCTGAAATTAAATACGCCTAGATGAACCACTATTACCACATCATTTATGTGCATATGGCCCAATTTTAAGCTCATAAATATCTGTAAAGTATAGTTGAAGTTTGTCTTAAACTGTGATACTAAAGTGTTTTGCAGATAGCGTTTAATCGAGTTGACTGTTGTCTAATGACAGATTATGTTTGCCCTGTATTTAAAATGTGATATTTTGAGCGATAAGTTATGTGTGATTGTATAGATTATTATGTGATGTAAAAAAAATAGACAAATAAAGGAGTTTTGTTTCCTTTTGGCAATCGGTTGTACATAAAGATTGGTGCACATTAGGTCGTACGACCGTCGGCCGACGAATACATCTCCAATATATCTCTGTGAGCGCCTGACGACGCATTTGGCCATTTCGTAAACCCGCAGTGCCAACCCTGAGCCACCGTGCCCAAAATTATGTACGGTAGTTTTCTACACATCGCATGCGCTAGATTTATGCATCGTCTGAAACGAAGAAAAGGAACGTAAACAATCATCCGAGCGAGGGGTTTTCGATTTTGACGAACTTTTAAACAGTTTTATAAAATATGTGAAAACCGATATTGTCGTGATAATTTCTAACAGGAAAAACAACTTTTAAAAGAAATAATGAAAAACTTCAGAATGTTATGATCTACGCAAGACTAGACCCCTATAGGCCCAAATACTAATACTAACTTAGTGGGCCTAGGTGGAACCAGGGAACAGTTAAATTACACTGGTGGAACTAGCCTATAGTCTACTCAAGCTAGTACTACAGGAACCATTACAGCTTTTGCTAGGGACTAGCTTAGGCCTAGCTTTTACAGTATTTAGAGACCGTATAAAACTGTATCTGATCTTTTGGCTGCCAGCGTCCCGCCCGGTGGTATCAAAACTTAAAATAATAATAATAATAATAATAATAATAATAATAATAATAATAATAATAATAATAATAATAATAATAATAATAATAATAATAATAATAATAATAATAATAAGCTTAGGTAAGCATAGCAACGTTTTTGGTCATATGCCCTATTATTACAATTAAAGGAAAAACAACTTTTAAAAGAAATAATGAAAAACTTCAGAAGGTTATGATCTACGCAAGACTAGACCCCTATAGGCCCAAATACTAATAGCAGTAGCTTAGTGGAACCAGGGAACAGTTAAATTACACTGGTGGAACTAGCCTATAGTCTACTCAAGCTAGTACTACAGGAACCATTACAGCTCTTGCTAGGGACTAGCCTAGGCCTATATTTTACAGTATTTAGAGACCGTATAAAACTGTATCTGATCTTTTGGCTGCCAGCGTCCCGCCCGGTGGTATCGAAACTTAAAATAATAATAATAATAATAATAAAAAAGGCTTAGGTAAGCATAGCAACGTTTTTGGTCATATGCCCTATTATTACAATTAAAGGTAGCCTAGGCAAGGCCATATGTAATGTTATATTTCTAAATCGTGAAATTTGGAACAGCGAAGCCATTTTTAGATACCCTCATAGCAAGGCAAAATTTTAAGACTTTTTATTCAGTCTATATTTGTGTGGTAAATTGTGGTTTTAAAATATCTTAAAATGTATTATTTGGAATTCTTCTTGTCATAGGGAAAAAAAAAATCACTAGGGCCTACACTCATCCCAGACTCGAAATTTAGTTTGTGTGTGATCAGTACACTTTCTGTCCATGGAGAAAATACTCGTCATAGATAGTTTCTTTTTACACTCTCGATCACGTTTACGACGCAAAAATTCTAGCCCATACGTAGAAACTACATTATTGTGTTCACGGTGCGAGGTTCACATCAAGCCCGGATTC